GTAAAACATATGGCATTTTGAGTATGCCAAGTGAGAGATATTATTTAGATAGCGAATATTCACCAGAATTTGTGGCTTTATACTACTGGGATGCTGTTTGTTTAATGAGAAAGAAACACTTATCCCTTTACAAACACAGAGTTATAAATATGTACTAATATATGTATATATCTATAAACACAGATTATCCATATTTGTCACAAGTAGTGTATCTGCAAATAAAACATTACTTAAGTAATGCAGTGCCACATGCAACTTCTCTTAAATGTGTGACTGCTGGTATAGCAACAGAACTCAACCCTAGAGAGTGATTCCTATCATATTATATGTAACTTACTTCTTAGTTAACCATTTAATTTATACTTACTATTACATGAGAGTGTAGTTGTGGCTTTTGTTTCTTTTAATATTTATTCATTGGTATTCACGTTGTCAATAGAAACATCCCACAGGGACACACAGCCTCAAGCATCTTGCACATTGATATGCTGACTCAACTTTTCTTATTCCTAAAATGAACAAGACAACCTCTCGGAGCCTTCCAGCTCTAAGATAAAACATGGCAGATGACTATGCTAAGAGTTCTTTACTGTGATGACATAGGATAAAAGAAATAAGAAATACAGTAAAGACATGGAAATTAGATTTTTGATTTAGGAGTTCCACAGGCTTTTCCACACCCATCATTTTCTGGGCCAGCCTCTCTTCCAGCCCTGTCACTGCCAGATTCCTGGGAAATCTGTAAATCTACCTGTGCACTGTTGATTAAAGCCCCAATAAACAGATTATGCGAGACAAAGGAATTTCCAGCACTATTTACTAATCAGATAATGAAGACCACATCAGCTAAGGATCCAGAGGCATAAGAGCACCAGAAACCATCTTGAAATCATCAGACGGATATTATTCCTACATATTTTTCCATACCCACCCTCACCAAGTTTCCTTTAAAAGAAATGCTGGAAACCTAAAAGCACTTCTGTCTCTTGAGAGAGCCCACATTCTTGTTTCAACGTGTATCTGTTTTCCAAAATAAATCTCTATATGCCTCTGAAGGGCATGTGCGGGAATTCCTTTCTACCACATATATCTAGTTCCCTGCCTTCTCTCTGGGAACTCCTCAATCCCTTCTTTGGAGATATTCTTTCTCTATGACAGTAAGATACTGTCATCCATTTGAATCCACATAATAACTGCACAACAATTACCTCCTTCATTATTTCTATGATTAATATTAGTTCAGGGAGATTAAATAATTTGCCTAAAGTCTGAAAGGTGCTGAATATGTGATTAAACCTAACCGTCTGAATTATGGCCTGTATTCTTTTTCTATACCTCTGATTTTCAAATACTTTTGTCAAAGCTAATTGATACGCTATTAAGAATATTAATTTTAAAACAGATAAAGTACAATTAGAACATATTCACTTTTTATAAATGCAAAATGGAAATATTTGCTTATGAGCTTAATAAATACTGAAGCAATTTGATATACATGAAAATTTGAGATGAAAGATAATGGACAACAGTTTCAGATTTTTATGGCCTTCATTTATAATTCATTTCTATATTGTGTTGGATTTGCAGTGATGAGAAATCTCTTATTTATAAAAATTGGTCATTATATGTGGAAACATTTTTTTAAGATATCTCATATCTTCCAGCTCTAGGAAAAAACATGGCAGATGACTATGCTAAGAGGCATCTCATATGCCCTTCAATTAAACTGATCCAGAAATATGAAATATAATTAGAAATTTTTAATTTCTATGATGGTCACTTAGAACATTGAACAACTGGATGCTATCCAAATTTACATGTATTACCAGTATATATTGTGATGATAATAAGTGTATGTTTTCAATGACTTTTACTCAGCTAAGATAATTGACCAGACCCTCCACTCACACTGGGAAGTAGTCACAAGTAATGCTTTGAGTGTACATAAATACACAATTTAATTCCATCAAAGAATTTTTACCAGGAGACATGGTTGGACACAACTTAATTAATGTGAGCACTCAACAAATGTTCATTACTGTCAGCAGTGTCAACGTATTCTGGAATCTTGGACAATTATTATATCGAGTAGATTTGCACTGACTTGCCATTGGGAATAAGTAAAAGTATATTCACATGAATGCATATTTTGAACTTACTAATTTTCATTTGATTTTACTTTTAGATTCCATATATTTTCACAATATAATTCTTATACTTCTCTTTTAAATAATCCTTTTCTGAATAAATACTAAGTAGAAAAGATGTAAGTGTCCCCATTCTTATTTCACTTTTGTTTGGCTCTGGGTTTATAGTCTTCTTTATTCTCTTGAGAGAGACATAATTTCTGGTGCTTTGTGATTTTCACCTCTCTGCTCATGCTCTCATTAGACTTTGTGTTTGCTCTCCTGAGTTTCGCCCACTTTTGATATATTTCAATCTTTTTAAATGAAGAGTCATTGAGGACTACTGTACAGAAGCACAGATTTCTCATTATTCAACGAGAAAAGCCTTATGACACTAATTTCTCAAGCACATAGAATTAAAACTAATTATCTCATGTTCCTTGAAGAAGCGGTCAAAAGGATGGGAAGGTCAGGTTGAAATTTTATTCCCTTAGACCAACAAAGCATTTTTATTAGCAAGGGCTCTAGTTTACACTCTTTGTCTTTTGTTTCTTATTGTTCCACCCTTGATCTTCTGCACTTTCCATAATATTATCATATTACCAAGAATGCAATAGTCATGGAGAGAAAAAATACATTTATTGTACCAAGAATTTTAACATTGTATTGGCAGAAGATGGATACTGATATTTATTTAAAATCATGTTTGTTTGACTATACAATGAACTTTCCAGCTGGATAACAAGGTCAGTAAAAAGCCAGTGACAAGATATTTAATAATGACAATAAAATAGACAGCTATTTTAGTAGCAAAGTATCTCAAAACAGCTTTTAACATTTATTATTAGAAAGATCAACCAAAAGTTTTAAAATTTCAGAGTTCAGTTTCAAAGGCATGAATAGTTAAGTGCTTGCTCAAGATAATAAGAAAGGATTTAGGGATGTGAGATGCTTATGAGAACCAAATTAAATTTAGAGCTATGATGTTGGTGTAGATTTCCATGTCAGAAAATATAAATTACGTATTAATAACCTTTCACAGTATAAAGTAAGATTATTATAGTTAGGATCTCTTATTTTGTACAGTGTTTTCTTTTTGAATTCTGGCAGACCATAAATATCCTAATGTCAAGAATGTTTCTAAAACTTTTTTAAAGGAGCTCTGTTAGTCATTTTTTTTTGTTACTGTGACAAAAATTCCAAATAAGAACAACTTAGGAAAGGAAAAACTTATTTTGATTCATGGTTTCAGAAGTTCAGTCCATGATTAGCTGATTGCATTGCTCTGGGCCCAAAGTGAAACAGTCATCATGCAGAAGGGTGTGACAGAGGAAGGTTACTGCCCATGGCAGTGAGAAGCAGAGAGGAGCCAGGGGAACAAGATGAAACACCCCGAGACCTACTTCCTCCAGCCATGCCCAGTTACCAATCCTTTTAAATTATTAATTCATCCAATTTGTTAATTCAATGATTAGGTTACATATCTCATAATCCTGTCATTTTAGCCATGAACATTTCTGTCCCAGAAGCTTGTTTGGAAACACTTTATGCCCAAGAATAACAGGAACCATTGTTGTTAGGTTGGCTTTATACTGATTTACAATGAGAACACAGCTTCAGTTTTTTAAATATTTTTTTTAGTTGTAGAAGGACACAATATGTTTATTTATTTTTATGTTGTGCTGAGGATCGTACTAGTACCCTCACACATGCAAGGCAAGCACTCTACCACTGAGCACAACCTCAGGCACATAGCTTCAATTTTAAGAAAAAAATTACCATTTTCTAAATTTCAGATGTGTGATGACACTATCATGCAACTATTCCCAAGAGATATACAGCAATTATCTTATAACTAGAATTATACTTTTTTTGTTGTTGTTGCTTTATTTTATTTATTTATTTTTATGTGGTCCTGAGGATTGAACTCAGTGCTTCACACATGCTAGGTAAGCGCTCTACCCTGAGCCACAACCCAGCCCAACATAGAATACTTTTTAAAATAAAATTATTTCCTCCATATAAATTCTTTTTTACTTTTCCAAAATTGAAGTTTTTGCCCTCTCTAAAATTTTGATCTACCATGAATAACTACTACATACATGAAAAAAGTACCTCATAAGTACATCTCACTCCATATATTTGTAAGTTGGTAATTTATACATCAGATAAAGTAAAGTTATCTCAAAGAATTTTAAAAATTCGGAACACTTAAAAAAGTTTAAAACTTATATCACACTAGCAAAAGACATTCTTTATTTAGTAAAAGTTTTCATTAAAGATAGAGATGCAATTGTATTATCTGATTGATAATGTTTATATCAGTGCAGAAAAAATGTTTCACATAATCATATAACAATGTTACAGAATGCTAAGCACATAATTTTAATAATCAGATAAATATACTTTTCAAATTAAAAGTAAAATCTGGACAAAATGTAGCAATTTATTAAATTTTATGACTAAAATATTATATTTAAAATGTTTCAAGTTTATTTTTACCAAACTTTTGTTCTTCTCTATTTTCAGTTATTTTTGCTTCAGAAAACCCCATTTGCTTACCTTGGATGGTGATTCCACGGGATGTGAGCTCTATGGTCATATGTGACAGCAAACCTGTGTCATCTATATTAACACACACGTTTCCCATCCTGTTTCTTTCTTTAACTATATGATTAATATAATTCTCCATAATATAATATTTGATATGTAACTTGGATCAAATGTAATATATTGTAATTTATTTTAATATAATGTTAAGAGCAAAGTTACATACGAAGAAATAAAAGAAAATTTAAGAAGAAGCAAAATAGTTTCAGAACAAATACTAACATTTTCAGTTTGGTTACAAAAGGTAAAGCAAAACTATCCTACCTGATGAATCGAAGTTCACCTCATTGCCAGCACTTGGTCCAACATCAATGGATACAATTGGTAAGAGTTTCCGAAAGTCCCACAGTTTTATAACCCCGCAAGCATCACAGGATGCTATCATGTGACCCTTCAAAATATAAAATAAACAAAAAAGTACATACATGGAGAAAATATCTATAAATATATATAGTAGACCACAGACAAGAGATGAAACCCTATACTAAATTTTAGAAGATAATATTTTCAGGAAGGTCTCATCATTATTTTAATTATATGAGAAAAAGTAAAAAATATCCATACACTTGTGTAATTTGTCTACATATTTTATATACATATATATATATATATACACACACACACATATATCATGTATCATACAAACAATATATTTGAAAAATAAAAACTACAAACATGAAAAATTACCTCTTAAGTACATCTCACTCCATATATTTGTAAGTAGCTAGCACTGGTAATTTATATATTAGATAAGATTTAAACAGAGGTTGGAAGAGAAATGGACACAGTGTGCCACAGTTGATGACAGGATGACTAAAGCCAGGTGAAATGGACTATAATTAAACTGTGCCCGTTTTGGTCTGTTAGACAAAATTCACAGTAGGGATATTTGTGCTTGTTTGGACAACATATGGTAGAATGAGAAAGGAGGTACTTGAATAAAGGGAGACAAAACAGAAGGAAGAGTGGATGTATTGAAGTGTAATGGAAGTGAGGAAGGGTATTTTCCAGTGTAGTGGAAGCAATTGAGGCTCAATGTTTTGGGGCTACGGGCTGTCTATGCTTTTCCTGCTCCCTGTCAGGAGGTATTCATTAAGCATCCACCTCTTATCAGTAGCCAGGCAAACATTGATGAGTAAGAGGGATTTTGCTCTCCAGCACCTCATAATCTATATCAGTCAACATTCCATCATTAATTTCCTTGCTCATTCACAAATGGAATGAGTATCGGCTACATCAGAATCATCATTAATGTTTACCATAAGTCAATACTCTGTTTTCAATTTAATTTACAGTTTCCCTTTCAACTCCAGCTTAATTTTTTAACTGTCATGTCAAAGAATGTCCTCTCATTTTCTTTCTAAATTTTAAAAAATGTTAAAAACTATTAACTTTTTATCATACAATTATTGTTATTATTGCTTTGATCTAGCTCACTTTTTTCTCATTCCATTCCTGAATTCTTTCTATAAAAATTGCACATCCTGTATTTCAGTTCAAGTGGACATTTTGGTTTTCCCTAAACATCCAGTAATGCAATGAATGCCATTAGTTTTAAAATTCTATAACTGCTGTCACTAGCAAAGTAATACAAACGGCCTTGTCCCCAATCTAATAAATGAGATGCTTAATCTTTTTTATGACTTAAAAGGAACATAGAGAACTTGGAATGTTTTCAAATATGTAAACATGTATTGTAAGAATTGTGAGGAATCAGTGAATTTTATTTCAGAAAAGAAAAGAATAAGTCTCTATATTAGCAGGGAATATTAATGTTATAAATTAGAAAAAAACTTTTCCAAATATAAAGGCTTTCAATCATCTTTAGAAGTTACAAAATGGAAACACTGTTCAATTTTGAGGACAGAGTAGATAAGTTTTAATCAGAACTTAATTTGGATGCACCTTTTACCAAAGATAAGTTATTGACTCAATGTGCTTAATTTGTCTGCCATCTCTGAATTAGGGATCATCCTAAAGTATCCTTTATTCCACTGAATATTAAAATTTTAGGAGTACACAAAAAATAAAAAAATAGTTTTGTCATGTTAAGTGAAAATAAATACTAAAATAGTTTAAATATTTTTGTGTTTAATAATGAAACTTTGGCTGTTTCCTAATGATCAGTTGAATAGTTCAATAATATTAAAGTAACTCAATATTTATTAAATGCTTTTAATAAACCAAGCACTATATTAATAAGAGTAGATACTAATTTAAAAATTCTTTTGAACAACTAATAGCATATTAGTCAGAATTTTCCATTGCCATGACAAAATATGCATTACGTGAAATGAATATAATAATACATATTTTATATATAATAACTTACTGAGTGATAGACATCAGTTTGTATTTAGATACAATAACTGAAGGATATTTAGTAATGAAAAACCATGGTTATACTAAGCAGGTGGAGCAGAGAGATGGCCTATAGCAGGCTTTGGAGCATTATACAGTTCAACAAAAAAATATTTGTTGAACTGATGAATTACTCAATGCTTCCTCAAAACTTAAACCTAAACATTTTATTTAGTCTGAGTCCCCCAATAACAGTCTTAGGGTAAATGTCAATTCTAACTCTGATGGTTCTGAATCACTTACAAAAAAGAAAATGCTGAAAGGGGTAGAGAATACAGAACTCCAAACTTGGAATATCCTCAAGACCCTGTATCCCTCCACCTCCCATTTCAGGCAATCTGGAGGGTCATCTGCCAACCTCCCTCCCTAGGACTAAACAACAAACTGAAGTGATAATCTGAACTGCATGGTGTGAGTCTGGAGGAGCCTGGAGGTGGAGAGATGTGGGAAAGGGATTAGTTGATGGACTGGGAGAAAATCATTGTATTTAGAACATATGTAAGAAAGCAGAGAGAGCTACAGTGAGGTGCTTACCCTAGACTAAGAAAGATTTTAAAGAAAATGTTTTTTAAAGATAGGTGGGACTGCATGATGATTTTAAAGAGAGTGAAGATTCAAGAGCTTTGGGAGCCTCTCTAAAATATAGTTCTGGTTGTGTTACTGGTACTGGCACTCATGCTGAGGAGGGGAAGGTCCTAAGGGTGGCTGAGTAGACAACTCTCAAAGAAGTCCAAGTTCAGGTCTGTGGCTGTTTACAATGCTTGACTCCCTAGCACCCAGCATAGTTCCTGTTTCATGTTAGTCCTCAATTTTGAATATAAAACCGGAATGGGAATAAGGAAATAGAGAGTAATCAATGTTGACTGTATATAATTCGAAGCATTTTGTTCAAAAATATGGAAATGTTAAATGAGCTGAAACTCAGAAAAAATTTTTTAACAAAAGACTCTAAGGAGATAATCAATGCAAGTGAAACTTTGCAAAGTGAACAAAGGTTAAAGAAGTTGCCACCCTGACTACCCCTGTTAAGCCTCCCATCACCAAAACAGATGCTTATAATGGGAAAAGTCACACAGACATGAAGTTACCTAAAGAGTAGAAGAACACAGACCAAACTGGCTTCACCTAGGCTGAAGAAATATATTATAGGCAAATTTAACTATACATAGCAAGGATCACAAGTGTGTTCATCTTTTAAAACTTTTACTATTACTTCTGAAACTTAAATCAAATTTATAATAAAAATTAACACAGTACTATTTCTAAATAAAAATGAACATAAGTGAAATTTATAATGACAATCTAACATAGGAGAAATAAGCCTAATGCTACTGTGGATTCAGAAAACTTCTTTTATGCAAACCTGATACCAACTGCTTTGCCAGGAGACAGGTGAACTGAACTTCTATCTCTCTGCACAGAGGTTTCTAGCATATTTATATATTGTAAAACAAAGAAAGCAAAGGAGAAAAATGGAATGGTAATGGGGTAATTTATAATTTAAGTGGATTATAATTAAAATTTCAGTAAATAATAATTAAAAGGCCATTTTAACAAACCAATCATATTCTTAATATAGAACATGTTATGGCTTTATATAATTTTTAAAGCAGATTTTACAAAGTTGGATATTAACATAAGATTTGGGGTTAAGGGTCTATTTTTCAGAGAGGTTAAGAAATGTCATATATTCATATCATCTTCTAAAAGAAAGTTCTTATAGTATTGAATTACATGTTTGGAAGTTATAAAGAGGTTATCAAATGAAAAATACAGGTGCAATTTAATTATTATTTGAAACTTCATCCTGATGAGTCAGTTATGTCAGCTAAGTATTTTCTTGATTCAACTCACTAGGTTACACACACACACACACACACACACACATTCATGTTTTATATGTGTGTGTGTGTGTGTGTGTGTGTATATATAATATACATATTCCTTATGTAACTTTATGCTTTTCTTTTTACCCATCTTCTTTTGGAAAGACAACTTATAGAACATCTAAATAAATAAAATATTTTTAGAACTCTCATACTGCTTCCTTTCTGCAAAATTTCTTCAAGGTTAAACAGCAGGATAAATGTGTATAAAATGTTCTTTTCTCAAAGAGTTATACCATTCATGAGGGGAAAAAAATAAATGAATGACCATATATCAACTATGCACCTAAGAATGGTATAAGCTCTGTAAGTTCAATATATATATATATTTGGAAGCAGACCTGTAAGATAACAGAGATTAAAAGCTTTTTTTTTTCAGATGGGAGATAAAAGCCAACTCACTATTAAAATCATGGGCAGTGGAAAGTTTCCTGACAAAATGATACTGACTGAGGTTGTTGGCTGATGCTGTTTGAAGCTCCATTTTCATGAAGCTATACGTTTAAAGAGTCTGGTGGTAATATGCAGTCTCACAACTGGACCTAAATGAGGTTATATACTCAGATCTGGATCTGTGGATTCAACATCAGAGAGGAGATTTTTTTGAATCATAAATGGAAAACCTATCCTAGGAGATCCTGGGGTTACTGGCATGGGAGACCTAGAGACCTGGGAGAGGAAATTGCTTCAGTGCTGTCATTATGAAAGGGTAAATACAAATAGAGAGCAAAACGAAGAGAAGGGAGAAAAAGAGAGTCAGTTCTTTTAATCGCTGAAAAGAAACTAACACTTCTATAACAGGTAAAGAGATTTAAAGCTAGCAAACAGACAAAAATTGAAAGATGAAATTAGTCTGGGAAGATTAAAATTATGAAAGACTGAAAAATATTTATAAATTAGCATAAGAGTCTCAAGGATTTTAATGAGGAGCTAATTCTCATCCAAGAAATGGAAATTTAACAAAAATAGTCTAAAATGACTTCAGAAAACCAATAGCAATGAAAAGTCAGTCATTGAAGGAAAACATTTCAATTGATAGGATGTCCTCTAATCTGAAGAAGATGAAAATAGAGTTAATGAACTCAGATTATAATCTGGCAGATTCTACTGGGACATGGATATAAAAAGATGAAAGCATGTAACC